TCATAGAATCCCTACAGTGTGGAAACAGGCCATTTGGCCCATTGAGTCCACACCGATCCTCAGAAGAGCATCACCCCCCAATCTTACCTCTCTAACCCTGCATTTCCCATGGCTAATACACATAACTGGCACATGCCTGGACACTAAGGGCAATTTAGCATGATCAATACAACTAACGTGTGCACGTTAGTTTCTTTTAGTTATCTTTCGACTGTTGGAGAAAACCCACGCAGACGTGGGGAGAACACACAAACTCCACACAGACCATCGCCCAAGGGTGGAAGTGAACCCAGGTCCCTGGTGTTGTGAGGCAGCAGTGCTGACCACTGAGCCACTGTGCTGCTGCACAAGTGCAGTTAAAAGAAAGCTAGTCTCATTAACAGCAATCAGAACATTAATTGTCATAAAAAGTCATCAATAATTTTTGGGAATTCGCTATTGTTATTTAAGTTGATCTACATGTGACTCCAGGCCCACAATATTGTGATTGACCCTTAGCTGCCTTTTGACATGGCCTAATATATCACTCAGTTCCAGGGGAATTAAAATGGACAATAAATTCTAACCTTGCCAGCCACGTCCACATCCTGTCAAAGAACAAATGAAGATCCTTCTCACCCAATACAACTGCTCCTTACGCTCAGCTGATCTTTATCACAGAATTGTTATGGGGCAAAAGGAGGCCATTCGGCCCATCAGGACTGCACCAGCTCTTCAAACAAGCATCATTGACTAGTGCCAATCTCCAGCTTTCACCCTACACCTTTGCACAGTATTTCTACTCAAACAATCATGTCATGCCCTCTTGCATGCCTCAATTGAACTTGCCTTCACCCCATTTCCAGTCAGTGCATTCTATATCCTAATTATCCACTCCTTGAAAATATTTTTTTCTCACATCACCTTTGCTTCTTTCGCACATCAGTTTGAATCTATATTCTCTCCTCTTGTTCCTTTTATGAGTAGAAACAGCTTCTACCTATCTACTTTATACAGTCCACTTATAATTTTGAAAATCTCAATCAAATCAGGCCTCTCAGGCTTCTTCTCTCCAAGGAGAGCTGTCCCAACATGCACACACTAATTAAACAAATGGAAAATGGTCAGAGTTAATCATTCACGCTGCTGAAAAGTTGAATATATGTACGTAATAATTAACATTTAATTTATCTAGAGGGGACTGGATTGAAGTTATATTTTTCTATTTGGCCCGTAAGTTGAAATGTTACTCTATATTTTTCTCATTGATCATCCAGAGAGTGAAGGACAGAAAACTGGAGGACCCCCTCCTTTAACCTCACCTAGTATGTGACATCAACCAGATATCAACAATGGGAAGACCTGGAGAGCAAAGCTTGAACAGAACACAATCAGAATATAAGAATGCCATGAAACAAAGAGCAGAAATAAACAGTGCTGGCCCATCATTCAATATAGTCATGTCTAATCTTCAACTTCAACTCAACTTTCCTGTTTGCTCCTCATATCTTGATTCCCTGGGAGATCAAACAGTTGCCTATTCCAGCCTTTAAAATATTCAACAACAGCAGAGACTCCAAAACCCGCTAAGTCAAAGAATTCCAAGGATTTAGAATCCTCTAAGTGAAGAAATTTTTCCTCATGTCAGTCTAAAATAATAATCCTGAGAGTGTGACTCTTTGCTTTAGATTAATTGACCAGCTGAAACCTATCAAACCCCTTTAGAATCTTGTATGTTTCAATGAGATCTCCTCTCGTTCTTTCCAACTCTCGCGACTATAGATCCAGTTTAATCAGCCTCTCATCATAGGACAACCCTCTCAGTCCAGGGTCCAATCTGAACTTTTAACCAAACTTTTGTATCTCCTACAATTCAGGTATATCCTTCCATACAAATGGGGAGTAAAATTGTGCGCTGAATGCCAGGTCCAGTCTGACCAACGCTTCATACTATTGCAGCATGACTTCCTTCTTGTTATACTACAATCCCCTCGCAATACAGTTCAACATGTCACTTGCCTACATGATTGCTCACTGTACCAGGATGCTAAGGTTTTACATTCCTTGATAACTAAATCTAAGTTTCACTGAACATTAACATTTGCAAGTTTCACACCTTTAAAAAACATTTTACAGTTCTATTCTTGCAACCAAAGCGAACAACCTCACACATGTTCACATTGAGACAGACTTTCCAAGGAGTAGTAATTTCATGCACATTGTCACTCCACCCTTTCTATTTTATGAAAGTTGAGAGCTCCATATTTTGATTCTAATCAAGGTTCCTTCAGAAATACGGAGCCATACTTCCGCTTTGGAAGTTTCATTCTCTCGAGATGCAGGATTGTCAGAGAGAGGCAAACCACACCTCCTTTTCCACAGGTGTCAGCTTCTACACTCTGAAATTTCTTTGTCCAGGATCACAGACAGCAACCTTGACAGCTGCTCTCAACCAGTAAGTATACAAGGCAAGTGCGAGATTATGTTACTGAGAAGGCAGTACCAAGTTACCAGGCTCAGAGCCTGCAAGTTGGTCGGGTGGAAGGTGGGCAGAATGCCAAGTGGGTAGGGTGCCAGGGTGCAAGATAGCAAATAGGGCAGATCCATGATACAGTGTTTAGGGTAGGTCAGGGAGGCAGAATCGGGTTTGGCGGTGAGGGATGGTTGGGTCGGGGGCAGCTGAAGAAGTGAATCAGGTCTGGACTGAGCAAAGTGGGGTTGGGTCATGAGCAGAGGAAGAGGGGAATGGGGTTCAGGTCTGAAACAGTTGAACAAGGGAGTGGGAGAAGTGGAGAGCTAGTCCTGTGACAAGGGAAAGGGAACTCAGATGTGAAGCGGGAGAAATCAGGGGTCATTTGGTGAGATCAAATATTGGATGTCAGTTCCAGAGAGGGGAAAAGGAGCATTAGGTTCAATGACAATGGAAGGGGTGATCAAGCCTGGAGCAAGTCCTGGAGGTTGTTAGTTCATGGTCTTGGGAGGTGTAACGGGTCTGAAGATGGTGTAGTTGGTAGGGATATGTGAGGTAAGCACAGGTCAGTTGAATAGTTACTCAGGATTTTTATTTAATGGTATAACTTTTTCTGAGTAACTATTTCTAAATTTCATTGGAACCCTTCAAATTCTCTGATTTAAATGGAGACTTTCCAAGCATCCCAGGCGTAGAGAAATTGCCCTGCAGGAACTTCAATTTCCTGGATAATTCCGGGGATTTGCATGTCCCCATGTGCGACTCCCATCCACACTGGAATAATAACTGTGGTCAGCAGAGAATCCAAGCCATTATATTCCATCTGATGTTGCACATTCATGGAATCTCTATATATCTCTATGCAGTTATGGCAAAAATAACAGAACAGCAATAGCAGTCCTAGCTACAAAACTGATGAAGTCAGTATTTACATAACACCAACAAATCACTTTGGACTTTGGTTAAACTTTGGACATTATGCTGAGAGATAAACAACCCTCACTTTCTAAACATTGCTCAGCTCCTGATGATGTGGGATTTGTTTACAGGGTTTGTCTACTGGATATTGAACTGACAAGTATTCTGAAATACTTCCTGCCCCAAGGTGGAAAATTTGTGTGGTTCATAACTAAAAATTAGAACATGGCTTTTCTGTTAGCAAGGGGACTTCAAAGACTCTCATGAGATGAAAACCACCAGATCCAATCCCTGCTTAAGGCTTTTTAGCAATATAACCATCCAAATGTTCCAGATTCCTGCAACACATCCCCAGTGTGAGGATTTCTGTTCGTAATCATTTGTACAAACCATCCCCACTGTGGGGTCCTGTTCACAATCACTCCCACAGCCCAGACCTAGTCTGAGATCCTATTCACAATCACACCCCCAGCTTTTGTTCCTGTTCACACTCACTTCACCAAAGCGTGCACTCACGCACACTCACTGCCCTGGTGTGTGCTTGTCAATCAGTTCCCCAGAGTGTTTCCTGTTCACAATCACATCCCCAATAATGGCATTGTGGTATTTTTGCTGTACTATTAATCCACAGACCTGGGTAATATGAACCAAGTTCACATCAGCAGATGATTTGGAATTAAGTCTAATTACCGTGTAACCATTATTGTAAAAACCCATCTGGTTCACCAATACTCTTTAGGGAAGGAAATGTATTGTTCTTACTTGGTCTGCCCTATATGTGACTCCAGAATCGCACTGTGGTTGACTCTTGACTCTGAATTGCCCTCTGAAACTCAGTTGCATTAAAACATGAAAATCTCAAAAAAGGAAAGAAACTGGACAGACCACCAGGAACAAACTTAGGCACCAGAAACCTGGCAACAGCAATCACAGGCCTGTGAACCCTGCAAAGTACTTCTTACTAACATTTGGGGATGAACGCCAAAATCGGGGCAGCTGTTCACAGACTATTCAAACAACAGCCCGACATAGCTGTATAATACTTTATAGACAATACACACCATCCATAGCTATGTCCTGTTCCATTGGCATGACAGACCCAGCAGAAGTAGTGGCACAATGGTATACACTTGGGAAGCTGTATGACCACCCACCCCCACCCCAGAACCCCCATTGACCGATACATGACTCTCCACTTGCCCAGACGAGTGCAGCTCCACCAATATTCAATAAGATGCACTGCAGCAACTCAAAGTTTCCTTTGACTGCATCTTCCAAACTCGCATTCTCTATCACCTTGGAAACACTGGAAGAACACTAACTGAAAATTGTTAGCCACACACCACCCTGACCTAGACCTCCATCGACATCATTCCTTTACTGTCATTGCACAAAATCTTGTGATCTCTTTCTTCCAAGTGATTCCACATATTGAGAACCACTTTTTATAAAACGTTATCATTCCCAATTCAGTGAAGATAAAATTTCCATAATAATTGATAACATCTTTAGATAAAACCAGTTCTCCTTAAAGCCTTTGCTACCATTGCAGTCCGAACTACATACATCAGCGTACAAATCAGAAGAACATTTATAATAACTGTAACAGGGGAGAAAACACAATCCTACTTACTGTGTTTCAAGGGCACCAGTTCAGGGTTTTTTGGCTGCTTCAGCTTAAAATGAACGTCACCAATGCTAATTATGTCACCTATAAAATTTGAAATAGGCAGGGTAAATCTTCACATTTTAAAAAACACTTGCCACTTCAGTTGATTGCATAAAAAATTCAAAAGCGCGCCCCGCTGGTTACAGCAAGACAACCACAGCATACAACACCTAAATACTAATCTTAACCCTTTGTCACTGCATCTTCCTTTTCTGAAACCTGCATACCATATGTCATCCATCAGTGAATGAATTCCAATAGGTCACAACAGCTTTAAATTATTCATCAGTTACTGGGGAGCCTAGGTTTAAGAAATGCACACGACATCCTATATCCCTGATATCAGTCCTTCTCTGCAGTCGCACATTTATTTGAAATTAGTGAGAACAAAATTTTCACTTCAATACATTGGTTCCCAAACTCATATACTTGAGTTTATCTTTCAGGAAACCTTTGTCAACCTTCAGATGAAGAGGCACTTCACAGAAGAAATACAGAATGAAATGAGGGACATGGATAGGGTGAATAGCCAAGGTAGGGACATTCAAAACTAGAGGGCACAGTTTTAAGGGGAGAGGGAAAAGTTGTAAACTGGCGGGGTAACTTTTTCACACAGAGGATGGTGCGTATATGGAATAAACTGCCAGGGAAAGTGGGTACAATTAAAACATTTAAAAGGCATCTTGATGGGTACATAAATTGGAAGGAGTTAGAGGGATATGGGCCAGATGCTGGAACATGGGAGTAGGTCAGTTTTGGATACCTGGTTGGCACAGACAAGTTGTACTGAAGGGTCTGTTTCCGTACCATGTAACTCTACAACAGAAAGAAGATGGAGAATGACTTCCAAAGAGTACAAACACAGAAACAAATACATACATTCAAACAGAAAGAACTATGCATTGAAATAGAGCCATCGACATACAGGATTTTTGAGTTTGCTTTTTGTACTCCATTGTATAACATTCACCTGTTTAATGCATCCACCGCCAACCACCTCCACACACACACAACATCTGAGGTAGGGTGGTAGACTGAAGAAAGTGTAGGCAAGTGGTGCAGTGTCAAGGTGGTGAGAGTGTTCAGGAGGCAACTAAAATCTGGGAAGTTGTCCAGAAAGAGCAGCATTCTGGCAGGCAGATCTGCGAAATAGGGTACTTTGGGAGACAGTGCACGTGGGTTGGTATTGTTTGCAGTGTAGGAGGGAGTTTTGGAGGTGGTCATCATCTGGGAGCAAAGGTTATTTTCGAGGAAGATACTTTCGGGAAGGAGAGACATGTTAGACCTCAGCTGTAGTACTGCATACGACTCTGGGTGCCACACCTTAGGAAGACAATAAATATATTGGAAGGCATGGAGAAGAGATTTGCAAAAACAATTACAGGGATGAGGAACTTCAGTAGTGAGGACAGATTGGAGATGTTAGGAGCGTTCTCCCGCTTGTGGGAGAAAAGAAGGTGAAGAGATCTGATAAATTTTGAAAATCATGAAGGATCTGGATACAGATAAGGAGAACTGGTTCCCACACAAAGAGTGGGAACAAACTATTTAACGAGAGCTTCAAAGGTAGCAAATATGATGTGAGAAAAAAGCCCTTCCTCATGGCTAAGGTATGGAATACACAGCCTGGAAATGTGGTGCAGGCAGATTCACTTGAGGCATTCAAGGTAACATTGGATGATTATTTGAAAAGAAGCAAGGTGGGAAGTGATTGGAAAAAGACAGGCAAACTATCACACACGTGGCACAGACAAAATGGAGCAAATCTCCCCACAAAACACTACCAGATTCAGACAAATTATTCCAGTGTAGAAGGAAACATTTGTTAAGTCTCCTTCTAGGCTGTAATAATTGTGTGAATCTGGGAGCGTTTTGTGGAGGGGTGACTGTGTGAGATGGAAGGTTTCTAGAATTTAGGGATGCTTCATCTGAAGGGAGTCGCCCGGTCTGGAAGACGACTGTCTGCAGGGAAAATCTGAACGTTAAGTTCTCTCCCTCTTTCTCGGGGGTGTGGCTCTTTGACTCTCCCCTCCTCCCTCTCTGGGAGTTCTCCTGCTACCACGGTGGTCGTGGTCGTGGCCTCGGTCTCGGTCTCTCTCTCTCTCTCTGGGGGTCTCCCTTCCCTTTCCCACACCGTCCCCTCCCTCTCTGGGGATCTCCCTTACCCACCCCCATCCCCCCCCCTCCCGGGGGCGATTCTCCCTTCCCCACCAGGCCCAACCCCACCTCCCTCCCTCTTTGTGGTGGTCTCCCTGCCCCCTTTCTCTGGTGGGGGGGAAGGGGTGTGTCACCCTGCCCTCCGTCTGTCTGCGGGTGTGTCACCCTGCTCCATCCTTCCCCGCCCTACCCCCTTCTCTCTTGTGGGAGAGGGATAGTCACCCTGCCCCACCACCCCCTAACCTCTTTGCAGCTCTCCCTACCCCAGCCCCTCCCTATCTCTCTCAATGGGGGAGTGGGGAATCTTCCTGCCCCACTCCCACCCCTCTCCCTCTCTCCCTATCCCTATCCCTATACCTATCTCCCTCGGGGGGTGTGGGGGTATCCGCTCGCACCTGCCGCCGTCTCGAGCCTCCTGACTCGGAGCGGGGCCCGGGTTCCTCTCAGCGGCTTCAGCGCGATGTTGGAGAGTCTCCGCAGGGCCGCGGCCGCCGCGCCGCCGCCACGGACCGGGAGGAGCAGCAGCCGGGACTGCATGGCCGCCGCCGCCTGAGGACACTGACCGAGCGCCCCGCACCGGGGAGGAAGATCCAACCGGCGGACCAGGAAAAACCAGTCCGTCCCTCAATCGGTTCCGGTGGTTCACAGAGGAAGCGTTCCTCACTGGGGGAAGGTTCCGGGGCAGTAGATGTCAGTGGGAGATATTCTCAGGACCAGCTAACTCCAGGTGTGCGAGTGAGATTAAACAGGGAGGAGGAGGAGGCCAAGGAGATATCAAACAGGGAGGCAACCAAGGACACGGTGGAGTGGGACAGGTGGAGGCAAAGAGGTAATGTCCCTGCCTCTGGGGCAGGAGATCCTTTCCACGTGCTCCAGGGCTGTCATAACATGTTGTTTCAACAAAGAGAAACAGGTGGGAGGTCCATCAGAAATTTCTGGAAAAAGAAGCAGTTGGGGCTACCTCGTCGAATGTTTTTAAGGCAAAGCTGGATAGATTTTTGGAACAGTAAAGGAATTAAGGGTTATGGTGAGCGGATGGCTAAGTGGAGCTGAGTCCAAGAAAAGATCAGCCACAATCTTATTGAATGGCAGAGCAGCTTTGATGGGCCAAATGGCCTACTCCTGCTCCTGTTTCTTATGTTCTTATTACGTAAGCAGGTCTGGCAGCATCTGTGGAGTGAAATCAGAGTTAGCATTTCAGAATCAAGAAGGGTCACTCGACCTGAAACGTTAACTCTGATTTCTCGCCACAGATGCTGCCAGACCTGCTGAGCTTTTCCAACAATTTCTGTTTCTGATTTCCAGCATCCGCAGTTCTTTCAGTTTTGCATCTGGAAGGTTCAAAACCAGCAGGTTTAGATCTAAAGCTGTTCTCCTCAGTGCTAAGGCTACGATACCCATTAGGATTGATGTTTCCATGCGTGTATGTTGATTTTCATCAGGAAATCTGAGACCGAGGTCTGGGGGATAGCACAGTGAATGACAGTCAACCAGAAACTCCAGGTAACTCACTGAAATGTTCCCCAAAGTGGCCGCCCAATTTTTATTTTGTGAGCCCTATCACAGAGATGGCTTTGTGATCAAGGAGGGGAGATGGTGACACAGTGGGAATTTCCCTGGATGAGTAATCCAGAGACTCAGACTAATGCTGTTGGCACACTTTGGTTCCATTCCCACTACAGCAGCTGTTGGAATTTGAATTCACTTCATAACAGCGGGAACGTAAAGCCAGTCTCAGTCATAATGACCATGAAACTTGTCGTAAAAATCCTTCTGGTTTGCTAATGTCCTTAAGGGAAGGACATCTGCCATGCTTACCCATATGCAGCCTGGTCTGCATGTGACTCCAGAACCAAGCACTGTGCTTGGATATTAATTGTTTCCTGAAGTAGTCTTGTAAGCTACTCAGTTCAAGGGATATTAGAGATGGGTAACAAATCTTGCCAGTGGTTTCAACAGTCCAAAAAAAGGATAAGGGAAATATAGTGCACAAATGAATTTCTAAATCATCTGGAAGGTGTATTTTAAGTGCTTAGGACACTAAAAGGGAGGAGTTAAAACAGCAGTCATTGTATCTCGTGTTTGCAGGAAGAGGAGAGTGTATTTGGAGTGATTGAAGTGTGAACCAGGGTATCAAGGAGGGAATCAAGTGAGGGTGCAGTTGGGTCATGGACAGGGTCACTGAGGGTGCAGTAGAGTCAAGGAGGAAGGTCATTGAGGTTACAATAGGGTTGGGGATGAGGGTCACAGTCAGGTTGGGGCCGATAATCATTGAGGATGCAGCAGGATCGGGGCTGAGGGACATTGAGAATGCAATAGGGCTGGTTCAAAATAACATTGGTGTAGTACAGTGGGGGCTGTGGGTAACTGAGGGAGAGGAGAATTAGGGATGGGGGTCAGACTGCACTTTCTTGGTTTGGGGCAACAGTTACAAGGGAACATATCTCATTTTGTGGAAATATCACGGCCGTGATCCAATTCCCTTAATTTGAATTGTCTTTGAATTCAAATAAAAATCTCATATTGAAAATTAGTTGCTTTGTTGTAATTATTGCTGAATTTGAATTCTAGTCCTGAAAGGGCCCTGCAATGAAATTGACACTGCTCAATTCAAATGACTGCCTGATTCAAATGGCTGCTTGATTCAAATGATTTCCTGATCAACGTTAATTCCTGGAAGAAGCACTGCTACCCTTCCAGCCACACCACCGCCACCCCCCCCAACCCCGGCCCACCACCACCATTAGACAGGAGATTGAGTCACTTTGGCAGCATGACTGGTCAGAGGTACAAGACCCTTACCATTGAAGAAAAATACAAGATCATCAAATATGTGGAGGGACACCCTGAAAAGATGAAGAAAGTGGTGGAACAGAAATTCAACATCCATCTCAACCTACCTGAAAAACAAGGAGAGAATCACTGCTGACCACCAGCAGAACTTTTTGAGTCAAAGAAAGAGGATGCGCACTTCGTCCTGCCCCAATGTTGAATCGACTTTGCTGGGCTGGCTCAAGCAGGTTCGAGCGGACCACTAGCCCGGCCTGCCTGACCTTGCCCTGCTGCAGAAGGCAAACCAATTGGCCGAGGAATTAGGAAGCGACCCTGTTTCAGCATCGTGGATCAGCCGCCTCAAAAACCAGCATACAATCAAATCCAGGCTGGAGCACGGTACAGTGAGTGACAGTCCAGCTGCCAGAAACTGAGTCAGAGGGCACTAAAGTTACAGGTGCAGCTGGGCCTTGAGAATGGACTAGAGACTAAAGCTAGCAGGTCCAGAGAGCTGACACTGGGAGAGCTCTGTGCAGCTGCTGAAGTGACTGGCAACAAGGCAGCTGTCCCAGTGGAACTTTTCTCTGCACTGAATCAAATTGAGAAGTTTATAGAGGACTGTTCAGTGCAAGAGAAGCTAAATCCAAGTGCAGAACAGTTTACAAAATGACTAGGCTTTGTATTGCCTTGTGTGTACAGTTTTCAAGATTTGTTCAAGTGAATTTCAGTTGATGCTTTATGTTTTGCTCAGTCTTTTTCAAATGTTCTGCTCTAATGTGCCATTAAAATTCCTGACTTCACACTGCTGGATAATTTAACAATTTTTTCAGACAAAACAATGATGGAATGAGGATGAGTATTCTGTTTGTGTGCATCTCTTCCACTGAAAATAATTGTCACCTTTTTGTAAAATAGTTTGTATGATTCTGTCCCCAGCTCTATTTATGTTGTTAATATTGCTCTAAAATTCATGATCTCCTTCGCCTTGTTCTCCTTATTTTCCCCAAAGCCACCTTCCTTTTCAGACCCACCCACTCCATTTTGATGTCTGTCAACTAAGACATGTAATGCCCCATTGTTTTCATGCAAACTCTGCCTGGGTACCTACACACATGTTCAACACCTACTTCCACATAATTTAGGCTGACACTTTGGTGCAATAATCTGAGAGATGATGTCTCAATATATAAATTTTGAGGGAGAAAAGGCTTTTTTTTAATGTTCCTTTATTATCACCCACTGATTTTCACAACAACTGCTTTAACACTCCAATGACATTAAGCAGCCTTAACAGTTCTTGTCCATCGTAGCGTTTTGGCAGTCCAGTTCTATTCCTGAATCCACATGCATCAATTTTTAAACTGCCACATCCTGTTAAATGGTTGTTGAACTCTGTTTGAAATTGCAGCAGTACCAGAATTCGGCTCAATCCATGTTGGAAGTTAGTACAATTTGCCAATGTTGGACAGATATAGGTTCCAACACTGCATCAAACTAGGTGTCTCCACAGACACTGCGGAGATTCTGAAAAGGATGTAGATTCACTCCAAATAATCTGAAAGAGAATTGGCTATGACTGACATTTCACAACTTTAGGACACCCCAAAGTGGTTCCACAGCTAATGAAGGATGTACTTTGAAGCGCAGTCACTGTTATAATGTAAGTAACTTGACAGCCAATTTGTGCACAGCAAGGTCCCACTAACAACAATATGGTAATGATAATTTCATTAGTTTTCAGTCATGGCACAAGCTTATCCTTTTTCAGAGCTCCATTGTTCCTCTTGGCAACGAAATACGTTGCTCCTATTGCCTCCCTGCCTTTGGCAGCTTTTAGCACATGTACGTCAATGCAAATCAGCAAAATGCCCATTTAGTTGGAACTAAAGAGCTTTACAGCCCCTTATTGAGCAGAAGTGTAATAAAGTTTGCTTTCTCCTGATGAACCTCCAGAATCGAGCCCAGGTTAGTGAGCTTTATGTGTGCATGCAGAGCTGTAGAGACCTTTAGCACAGAAAAAGGCTCTCTGCCCTTTGCAACCTGGCAATCAAACACAACCAGCCTAATTATTCTAATCTAGTTTTCCAGCACTTGGCCCATAGCCTTGTATGTCTTGGCATCACAAGTGCACATCTAAATACTTCATAAATATTATGAAGGTTTCTGCCTCTACCACCCTTACTGTGAGTGAATTCCAGATTCCCACCAATACCTGGGTGAAAAAAAATTTCCTTACATCTCCTCTAAACCTTCTACCCCTTACTTTAAATCTATGTCCCTTGGTCAATGAACCTTCCATCGAGGGGAATTGTTTCTTTCTGTCAATCCTACACCACGCATCATTTTATACATTTCAATCATGTCCCCTCTCAATCTCCGCTGCTCTAAGAAAAACAACCCCAAGTCTGTCCAATCTCTCTTCATAACTGAAACTCTCCAGCCCAGGCAACATCCTGGCAAATCTCCTCTGCATCCTCTCCAGTGCTATCACATCCCTGCTATAATGTGGATTCCAGAACTGCACACAATACATCAGCTGTGGGCTAACCAATTTTGGTTTTATTCACTCGTGGGACATGGGCATCGCTACCTGGTCAGCATTTATTGCCCATCCCTAGTTACCCTTAAGAAGATGGTGGTGAACTGCCTTTTTATACCACTGCAGTCCATGTACTGTAGATTGACCTACAATGCCCTCAGAGAGGGAGTTCCAGGATTTTGACCCAGCGACTTTAAATGGTGGTGATATATTTCCAGGATGGTGAGTGGCTTGTGGTAGTGTTCCCTTGTATCTGCTGCCCCTGTCCTTCTAGATGGAAGTGGTCCTGGGTTTGGAAGGTGTTGTGTAAAGATCTTTGGTGAATTTCTGCAGTGCATCTTGTAGCTAGTGCACACTGCTGCTACTGA